CTCCTCTTCATTCCTTTAAGTCCCAAATAAACTCCAAAGTACCTGAAAAACATCAAATATGCAATATGCTGTGCGATGCAATGCAAATCGAGCTAAGTAATGAAAATGATATGAAAAGGACTATGGATGCAATGAAAGAGAGATGAAACTTAGCTAAATGCATGAGAAAAGTGTGCTTAAAAGTGGTAAAATACAGAGATATCAACTCCCCCAAACTTAGCTCTTGCTTGCCCTCAAGCAAACAAATAGAACTAAGCTGGAGAAGAGGTTTGAAGGTGGAGACTCAGAACCAAAACATGCATATAGAGTAAGTGAATTCAATGTCCAGGTTGCTAATTCTAGAATGCAAGGTTGACTGATCTCTACTTAAAAACATTAGCCATCTCCTTCACATCTCAACCTAACCTCTGCCTTAATCAATTCAAGCATTCAAATCAGCACATTCCCTTTAACATTGATTAAGTAGGAACCGTGAATCATACTATGCAATGGATATGAACACTATTTGGCTTAAGGGTAAAGGTTTAGAGACAAAGATGGTCCCTTAAAGATCTGGTTTAAATCGCAACAGGGGATCTCTCAAGAATGATTGAGCTTTAGTAGAAGGCTAAAGGTGAGTATCAAGTTATGCATACAAGGATAAGACCCCATCTACCCAGAATGTAATCAATATCAACCCAAATGGAGGTCCTATTTCTAATCCCAGAACATGAACTTAACTCTACCCTTTTGCATTCAAAGCATTTACAGACCTTTACTCACACCATTCCTTTCTTTTCTTTGCTTTTCTATCCTAGGAGAAGCTTTCTTACTTTGCTCTGTCTAGCGGATTAGGATACTTCAACAACTAGGGTTCCCTTTTCTTTCTTCTTATAACATAAGGCTTTTTACCCCATTCTCTTTAAGCTATTACAGAACCCTTTTTCTTTACTTTATAACATTCCCAAATCCTTTACTAGACTTTTCTTACTTTAGCTACTTCTCCTTAGGACTCTTTTCCCTTTTCTTTTCTTTCAATGATGATCACAACCTTTTCTTTCTTTTAAGAACATCCCAAACCCAGAATTAAGCACCCACCTAGTCCTATCTGGTCCAGATAGCGTGAACCAGAACTACATGAGATACTATCCTTGTCGTTACAGACCTAACACTTTCTACCAAGCTCAATCGAAATAAGGCCTCACATTCACACACAAATGATAAATGGCTTGAAAGAAGGTTAAGGTTTAGGGTAGGGAATAACTGCTCCAAAGATGGGAGTCAGCTACTTGGACTAGCAAGAGTGATCAAAAGGTAAAAGAAAGTCCAAGTATTTTAAGGTATCCATGAGTTCATAGCACAATGCACAGCATGATAATTATAAGTCAAAATTCAAGTTCAAATAGATAGGGAATGGCATCAGATCAAAGCGAGATTCGACTAAGAACAAGAAAATCAAGCGTTGAATTCAAAAGATGGTGCGGTCTTACTTCAAGTTCAGTCGATTATGCATTAGAGAACTAACAACCAGGGCACTGAGTTCTACTTAGTGAATATGCATATTTACAAGGTTATAATCATCATAATCTCCAATGCAAATGCATGATGCAACAGTCCTAAATGAAAGCATACTAAAACAATCCTAAAATGACAATGCAAGCTATATGAACACTCTGTTTTTGTGAAATCATTTTCGAAAAATTTCAAATTTTTATGGTTTTTCTATGCCTTAGATGCAATGATGCAAAATTTGAGATAAGAAAACAAAACACAATGTCAAATACTCCCTGAGCCCTCCCCCAAACTTAAATTACACAGTCCTCTGTGTAACAAGCATTTGGAAGAGAGTACTCAGGGCAAACCAACAGAGAAACAAATTGAAATGTGGTATATACAATGGTGAATTGGAGTGGTTACCTCATGGATGGGTGAAGAAGGAGGTGATTGACCTGGTACTGGTGGGCTTGATGAGTGGGCTCGACTTTGGGTCGAGCTAGGCTTCTTTTAAGGCTTGGAATTGGTCCATGGTGCTAACTCGACTTGTAGTCGAGTAGGCTTCATTTTTCTGCTTGGAGTCATTCCGTTTGTCCACTCGACTTCACGTCGAGCAAGTACGTCGAGGGGGCTCTCCCAGCGTGTTCCTTCTTCATTTCTTTGACTCCAACTCGACTAAACCTGAGAATCACAGACACTAAACATATCAAAAATAACAAGAAATAAAGAGTTATTTACAAGGATAGACATGGGAATTCCTCCCAAGTGAGCTTGTTTAAAGTCTTTAGCTTGACTTCTCACACTGAATGAGCTTAGGGTGGTTGTAGAGAGCAAATGAGGTCTCCTCTGTCCTGCAGGTGGATGAATCATCTGGCTTAGCAGGCTCTCTTGATAAATCTGCAGTTGAGTACTCAATGGCCCTTTTCTCATAGTAAGCTTCTTGTTGATCAACTGGATAGTCTATAGACCATTCTGAAGTGATTTCACTCCCCTTTGCGCTGACCAGAGTAGACGCTTCATCATTCGGGACGTCCTTGATTTGGAGTGGTACTTGGTTGGCTATCCCATGGAGCTTCTTGATTTGATCCTTCAGCTCTCTCACAGTGCTGTTAGCTCCCTTATGGCTTTATCCTGCCATTTGGACCTCTCCTTGAGTTCTAACCAGCCATCTGGAGCAGAATTGCTAGACTCTAGCAGCTTATCACGATGTTTGGTCGAGCTAGAGTTCTCCAGACGAGTTGTAGGCTTGCTCAAATGTATACTCGAGTCAGTTGGTTGAGCATGTGTTGAGCTTGCTTCATATGCCACCTTAACCTCTGTTTTTGACCCAATCAAGCCTTTAAAGACCTCTGACCCTGCTACTTCCTTGTGTGAATCTAGTGACTTACCACAGCTCAAGGTTTCAGTGAGAAGATATCCTGCTTCACCACTCTTAGTCAAAGAAGTTTTTTGGTGATCTTCCTCAGCAACCTCCTCTAGCTGTTCATCAGCTAGGCAATCCATTACCTTAACTACGAAGGTCTGTCCTTCAATTGTTGGCTTCCTCGTGGCATCATTGATGTCAAACTTCATTGTGAAATCATTTCCCAGATTAAGATCAATCTTCCCATTCTTAACATCAATGACAGCTCCAGCAGTGGCTAAGAAGGGCCTTCCTAAGATTAAAGGATCTTTTGGTTCATCCATTTCTAGCACTATGAAGTCTGTAGGGATTTCAGCATTTCCAATCTTAATAGGCAAATCTTCTAATAACCCATGAGGAAATCTGATAGACTCATCAGCCAGGATCAAGGAGATGTTGCAAGGTTTATACTTGCTGAAACCCAGTCTCTTGGCCACGGAGAGAGGCATGAGACTTTTAAAAGCACCTAGATCGCAGAGGCAGTTACTGAAGGCCAAAGTGCCTAGAGAGCAAGGTAAAGTAAACGAACCAGGATCTCCCAATTTCTTGGGAATAATCTTCGTTTGGATGATTTCACTGCACTCATGACTCTCCATAGCCATCCCTTGCACTTCCTTAATTCTCTCCATTATCCATGTCCTTTAAGATACTTGTGAGAGTCTGGTATCAGCTTATAAGCATCAATGAGAGGCATCCTTAATTCAATCTCCTTGATGTGTTTAGCAAACATGGCTCTGTACTTCTCAATGATATCCCTCTTGAATCTTCCTGGAATGGTATTTTGGGCTTGTAGGGCGGTGGAACGAAAGCTTTCTTCTTACTCTTATCAATAACTGGTTCTTTGATATGGGGGCTCTTAGCTTGATCACTAGGTACAGCATCTTGGTCGAGCTTAGTGGTGTCATTCTACTTGAGTTTCATGCTGAATGAAATCCTCCCCCTCTTGAATCTCACTGTCCTCAGTGACAGGAGCTATGCTAGGTCGAGTTTGCAGCTCTCGACCACTGCGAAGGTGAATAGCATTAACATGACCTTTCTGATGCTGAATAGCTTTCCCTGGCAGTTGCCCTGGATTCTGAGGCGCAGAAGTAGAGGCAACTTGGCTCTCCATGTACTTAATCCTGGAGTTTAGAGCCTCAAACTTGACATTTAGATCATTGTAGGAGCAGTCGACTTTGTTTTGAATCTCAGCCATTTTCTTATCACCAGCTGCTTGACCGTGTAGAAGCTGCTGAAGCATTTGCTTCATGTCTTGATCTTGTGCAGGTGGAGCTTGTTGGGGTTGCTGTGCAAAACCGGGTGGTGGATTATGTTGTTGATAACCTCCACTAAACTGCTGCTTTGGGACAAAGCCTTGATTGTATGGTACGAATGGCTTGGACTGGTTCTGTTGTTGCTGAGGGTAAACCTGATCCTGAGGGTTTGCAACATTCGTGCTCCGGTAAGATAGATTAGGATGAGCAGGCTTGTAGGGGTTGTAGCCCTTGTTGTAGCCACCTTGGTTCTGAATGTAGCTAACTTCTGCAGCCTGAGTATTCTCCCCTTCTTGGATTTGATAGTGCTCTTCTTCAGTGATATAGTGGACTTGCTTCTGTTGAGTAAGCAGAATCTTATCCAACTTATCGTTGAGAGCCTTGATATCTTTACTATGCTTCGCATCCAAATCTCCAATACCTCTGTTGGAGCGATCAAAATCCTCGTTATAGTTACCATCGGATAGAGCTAAGTTCTCTATCAATTCCCAGCCTTCCTCAACATCCTTGTTCAAGAAATTCCCATTAGAGGCAGTGTCTAGCAACATTCTGATCTTGGGCAAAACTCCCCTGTAGAGTGTGCTGAGTAGTGAAGCCTTCTTGAAACCATGGTGTGGACACTGTATAGTGTAGCCTTTGAATCTCTCCCAGGCCTCACAAATGGATTCAGACTGCTTTTGGGTGAAACTGGAGATTTCATTCCTTAGACGAGCAGTTCTTGAATTTGAGAAGAACTTAGTTAAGAAGGCCTTCTTGCAATCGTCCCAAGATGTGATGGAGCCAGCAGGTAGTGTTTTCTCCCAGTGGTGTGCTTTGTCGCCCAGCGAGAAGGGAAACAGACGCAGCTTGAAACTGTCCTCACTAACACCATTTATCTTGGTGAGGCTGCAGAGCCTATCAAAATTATCCAAGTGATCCAAGGGATCTTCCAGAGGCAACCCATGAAACTTGTTACCTTGTATCATTGAGATCAATCCACTCTTGATCTCGAAATTGTTGTTCTGGACAGGAGGTGGAACGATGCCCTGTCTCTGTTGATGGTTGCGTGGTGCATCACCATCACCAATGTTTCGTGGTATACCAACTCCGTGATTATCTTGATCTTGTGGTTCCATGGCTACTGGATTGTGCGGTTCACAATCGTCGCTGACTCTACGTTCTCTCAACTCACGAGCTAACCGATCGATGTTGTCTTTGTAGCTGATGAGGTTGCTGGAGCCTTTAGAGCGAGTTTGCATGCAGAGTGGTTAGTCTCGACGTGCAGTACTCGACGTGAGGTCGAGTATGGTACCTGGAGCACAAAAACAAGCAGATGAAATGAAGAGTTAGTAACCAAAGTAAAGAAAGAACTTGATCTTAGCAATTCTAAAATCTTGAATGTAACAAGCAGACACCCAAATGGCAACGGCGCCAAATTGATACTAGGATTTTCACTATCAATTACCCTAGATTACTATCATGTCATTGCAGCAATTTAGGTTATCAATCCAATCAGGTGCTCTAATTATCAATCAAGATGCGATCAGAGAATACTAAGTCAAGCCAAGCAGAATAGAGGTTTGTTTATCTAGCAATCCTAAGCGAACATGCAATAAAACGATAAAACTACAGAACAGGAGTGAACATGCATAAAGGGAAATAGCTATCAATACTAAGCAATAAGCAAGCAGCAAGTACAGAGAATAGGTAAACAAGCAAGTAAGCAAGATTCAAGCAATCAATAGAGATAAAGGGTCCTGAGGAATGGGATAATCGATTATAGCAGTCTCCTTAGTCTATCTAGGTGGTTAACAAACTCAATCAAGCTATCCCTAGACAATAGATTCAAATACAAATCAATCCACTCTCGTGACAGAGATTCTCAAGCTAAATCACTTTCATACTCAATTCTCATTGAAGAAACATAACCTAGCAGGCATTATGATTCAATCTAATCTAGTCAATAAGCATTCTAAACATCCAATCTCTTGGGCTAGAGTATGCAAATCTCTGGAAAAGTTTGTTCAGACATTTCATCAAACACCTTGTGGGTGTGGAAATGTCTGAGATCTATTTCCAATTGATCAGAGAAGAAATAGCATTAAGATCTACTAAACCAGAAGGGAAATCAAGCAATTCTACACTTAACCACCTAAATATACTAAAGATTCCACACCTAATCTAACCCATCCTCAAGAACCCTAATCCACTACTCAAGAACACTGAAGAACATCATGCATAAAAACCCAGAAAATGCTTCAAACCCAGAAATCATTAAAAAGCAAGTATGTTATAGATGAGAAGGAGATCTACAACTTTGATGAAGAAACGAAATCCAAAATCTCAAAGGATCAAAGGGAAAAACGATTACAAAACTAGGGTTTTTAGAGAGAACGGCTCAATATCCGCTGGGTAATAGGAATATCCGCTGGATAATAGCGTGTACCCTATTTATAGGAATACTAGGTTGCCCTAATTTGGCTACAGACAAAATAGAGAAGTCGGTGGAGACCAACTCGACGTGACGTCGAGCCAGCCACGTCGAGACTGCCTCTTCTTCAGAGATGGCGCCTGGATGACCCTCTCGACGTGTCGTCGAGCCTAGCACCTCGAGTCTGCTCCTCTCAGCTTCTTCACGTCCTACTCGACCTCACGTCGAGCTTGCTGGTCGAGTCCAACCCTTGTGGTTTCTGAGCGCCTGCTCGACCTCCTGTCGAGTCCAACCAGTTTTTTCTGCATATGTCTCCATTAAAACCACCATAATTCTTGCATCAAAGCTCTGATTCGCTTGAATCACCCCCGTTAGAAGGTAACTCAATTTCCTATAACTTGTATGAAGAGCTCTGAGGCTAAATCGCAATGAAAGACTTCCATCTGAGTCGATCTTTGAGGGACTTCGGACTGGTTCTAATCATCAATTCTCTTCTTGCATCCAATGTGCGTCGAGCTTGGCTCCAAACCGTCCTTGAATGGCTTCTTTCCTTCTAACTCGATCCCAAGTCAGGTTCATACATCAAGCTTGCTCCTCTTCATTCCTTTAAGTCCCAAATAAACTCCAAAGTACCTGAAAAAACATCAAATATGCAATATGCTGTGCGATGCAATGCAAATCGAGCTAAGTAATGAAATGATATGAAAAGGACTATGGATGCCAATGAAAGAGAGATGAAACTTAGCTAAATGCATGAGAAAAAGTGTGCTTAAAAGTGGTAAAATACAGAGATATCACCTATACCCTCTCAAGCTTTATGGGTGTGGCCGAAGTCCTATGAGTTTTCGGTTTTGGAGCTTCTAAACGGAAAAACATTACTTTAGCTTACGGGATCCGGTTGCGGTTCTAGTTCTTATACCCAATCATACACACGAGATCTAGTCATATTTGACTCCAAAAACACTAACCAAGCTTCTTATACCCTCTCAAAGCTTTGTGGGTGTGGCCGAAGTCCTATGAGTTTTCGGTTTTGGAGCTTCTAAACGGAAAAACACTACTTTAGCTTACGGGATCCGGTTGCGGTTCTAGTTCTTATACCCAATCATACACACGAGATCTAGTCATATTTGACTCCAAAAACACTAACCAAGCTTCTTATTACCTCTCAAAGCTTTGTGGGTGTGGCCGAAGTCCTATGAGTTTTCGGTTTTGGAGCTTCTAAACGGAAAAACACTACTTTAGCTTACGGGATCCGGTTGCGGTTCTAGTTTTTATACCCAATCATACACACGAGATCTAGTCATATTTGACTCCAAAAACACTAACCAAGCTTCTTATACCTCTCAAAGCTTTGTGGGTGTGGCCGAAGTCCTATGAGTTTTCGGTTTTGGAGCTTCTAAACGGAAAAACACTACTTTAGCTTACGGGATCCGGTTGCGGTTCTAGTTCTTATACCCAATCATACACACGAGATCTAGTCATATTTGACTCCAAAAACACTAACCAAGCTTCTTATACCCTCTCAAAGCTTTGTGGGTGTGGCCGAAGTCCTATGAGTTTTCGGTTTTGGAGCTTCTAAACGGAAAAACACTACTTTAGCTTACGGGATCCGGTTGAGGTTCTAGTTCTTATACCCAATCATACACACGAGATCTAGTCATATTTGACTCCAAAAACACTAACCAAGCTTCTTATACCCTCTCAAAGCTTTGTGGGTGTGGCCGAAGTCCTATGAGTTTTCGGTTTTGGAGCTTCTAAACGGAAAAACACTACTTTAGCTTACGGGATCCGGTTGCGGTTCTAGTTCTTATACCCAATCATACACACGAGATCTAGTCATATTTGACTCCAAAAACACTAACCAAGCTTCTTATACCCTCTCAAAGCTTTGTGGGTGTGGCCGAAGTCCTATGAGTTTTCGGTTTTGGAGCTTCTAAACGGAAAAACACTACTTTAGCTTACGGGATCCGGTTGCGGTTCTAGTTCTTATACCCAATCATACACACGAGATCTAGTCATATTTGACTCCAAAAACACTAACCAAGCTTCTTATACCCTCTCAAAGCTTTGTGGGTGTGGCCGAAGTCCTATGAGTTTTCGGTTTTGGAGCTTCTAAACGGAAAAACACTACTTTAGCTTACGGGATCCGGTTGCGGTTCTAGTTCTTATACCCAATCATACACACGAGATCTAGTCATATTTGACTCCAAAAACACTAACCAAGCTTCTTATACCCTCTCAAAGCTTTGTGGGTGTGGCCGAAGTCCTATGAGTTTTCGGTTTTGGAGCTTCTAAACGGAAAAACACTACTTTAGCTTACGGGATCCGGTTGCGGTTCTAGTTCTTATACCAATCATACACACGAGATCTAGTCATATTTGACTCCAAAAACACTAAACAAGCTTCTTATTGCCTATCAAAGCTTTGTGGGTGTGGCCGAAGTCCTATGAGTTTTCGGTTTTGGAGCTTTTAAACGGAAAACACTACTTTAGCTTACGGGATCCGGTTGCGGTTCTAGTTCTTATACCCTATCATACACACGAGATCTAGTCATATTTGACTCCAAAAACACTAACCAAGCTTCTTATACCCTCTCAAAGCTTTGTGGGTGTGGCCGAAGTCCTATGAGTTTTCGGTTTTGGAGCTTCTAAACGGAAAAACACTACTTTAGCTTACGGGATCCGGTTGCGGTTCTAGTTTTTATACCCAATCATACACACGAGATCTAGTCATATTTGACTCCAAAAACACTAACCAAGCTTCGTATACCCTCTCAAAGCTTTGTGGGTGTGGCCGAAGTCCTATGAGTTTTCGGTTTTGGAGCTTCTAAACGGAAAAACTCTACTTGAGCTTACGGGATCCGGTTGAGGTTCTAGTTCTTATACCCAATCATACACACGAGATCTAGTCATATTTGACTCCAAAAACACTAACCAAGCTTCTTATACCCTCTCAAAGCTTTGTGGGTGTGGCCGAAGTCCTATGAGTTTTCGGTTTTGGAGCTTCTAAACGGAAAAACACTACTTTAGCTTACGGGATCCGGTTGAGGTTCTAGTTCTTATACCCAATCATACACACGAGATCTAGTCATATTTGACTCCAAAAACACTAACCAAGCTTCTTATACCCTCTCAAAGCTTTGTGGGTGTGGCCGAAGTCCTATGAGTTTTCGGTTTTGGAGCTTCTAAACGGAAAAACACTACTTTAGCTTACGGGATCCGGTTGCGGTTCTAGTTCTTATACCCAATCATACACACGAGATCTAGTCATATTTGACTCCAAAAACACTAACCAAGCTTCTTATACCCTCTCAAAGCTTTGTGGGTGTGGCCGAAGTCCTATGAGTTTTTGGTTTTGGAGCTTCTAAACGGAAAAACACTACTTTAGCTTACGGGATCCGGTTGCGGTTCTAGTTCTTATACCCAATCATACACACGAGATCTAGTCATATTTGACTCCAAAAACACTAACCAACTTCTTATACCCTCTTAAAGCTTTGTGGGTGTGGCCGAGTCCTATGAGTTTTCGGTTTTGGAGCTTCTAAACGGAAAAACATTACTTTAGCTTACGGGATCCGGTTGCGGTTCTAGTTCTTATACCCAATCATACACACGAGATCTAGTCATATTTGACTCCAAAAACACTAACCAAGCTTCTTATACCCTCTCAAAGCTTTGTGGGTGTGGCCGAAGTCCTATGAGTTTTCGGTTTTGGAGCTTCTAAACGGAAAAACACTACTTTAGCTTACGGGATCCGGTTGAGGTTCTAGTTCTTATATCCAATCATACACACGAGATCTAGTCATATTTGACTCCAAAAACACTAACCAAGCTTCTTATTGCCTATCAAAGCTTTGTGGGTGTGGCCGAAGTCCTATGAGTTTTCGGTTTTGGAGCTTTTAAACGGAAAACACTACTTTAGCTTACGGGATCCGGTTGCGGTTCTAGTTCTTATACCCTATCATACACACGAGATCTAGTCATATTTGACTCCAAAAACACTAACCAAGCTTCTTATACCCTCTCAAAGCTTTGTGGGTGTGGCCGAAGTCCTATGAGTTTTCGGTTTTGGAGCTTCTAAACGGAAAAACACTACTTTAGCTTACGGGATCCGGTTGCGGTTCTAGTTTTTATACCCAATCATACACACGAGATCTAGTCATATTTGACTCCAAAAACACTAACCAAGCTTCGTATACCCTCTCAAAGCTTTGTGGGTGTGGCCGAAGTCCTATGAGTTTTCGGTTTTGGAGCTTCTAAACGGAAAAACTCTACTTGAGCTTACGGGATCCGGTTGAGGTTCCTAGTTCTAATACCCAATCATACATACGAGATCTAGTCATATTTGACTCCAAAAACACTAACCAAGCTTCTTATACCCTCTCAAAGCTTTGTGGGTGTGGCCGAAGTCCTATGAGTTTTCGGTTTTGGAGCTTCTAAACGGAAAAACACTACTTTAGCTTACGGGATCCGGTTGAGGTTCTAGTTCTTATACCCAATCATACACACGAGATCTAGTCATATTTGACTCCAAAAACACTAACCAAGCTTCTTATACCCTCTCAAAGCTTTGTGGGTGTGGCCGAAGTCCTATGAGTTTTCGGTTTTGGAGCTTCTAAACGGAAAAACACTACTTGATCTTACGGGATCCGGTTGCGGTTCTAGTTCTAATACCCAATCATACACACGAGATCTAGTCATATTTGACTCCAAAAACACTAACCAAGCTTCTTATACCCTCTCAAAGCTTTATGGGTGTGGCCGAAGTCCTATGAGTTTTTGGTTTTGGAGCTTCTAAACGGAAAAACATTACTTTAGCTTACGGGATCCGGTTGCGGTTCTAGTTCTTATACCCAATCATACACACGAGATCTAGTCATATTTGACTCCAAAAACACTAACCAAACTTCTTATACCCTCTTAAAGCTTTGTGGGTGTGGCCGAAGTCCTATGAGTTTTCGGTTTTGGAGCTTCTAAACGGAAAAACACTACT